TGTGGGAAAGGCCAGACCTAGTTCAGGTGTCTTAGCCCACTCCCCTTTCTTCCCTGCTGTCCAAAATTTTATACTTATTGCTTCCTCAGAGAAAGTTAAAAATAGGACAACAGGCCCAAAATCTTGTAGCTATGCTTAAGCGCCATGTCACCAAACGGACGTGTAAGTAGTTTGGGGTCTCCCGGAAATGGGATCTTAGCTAGTCAATCGTGAATGACGTGGTCAGCACCAGTGAGGTCATCTGCCTGACAGGCCCTGCCAATCCCTAAGCTAAGTGACCTTGCAATGACCAGCTCGGTCTTGGGGGCAGTATAATTTCTTGTCCCTTCCGCCTATTAAGTTTTTCACTTTCTGCAGCTCCTTAGAGCGCCTTTTCATCTGCCAGATGGGAGGCTGCCTGATTCGTGAGTCATTGCATGAAACCAACAAGATATTTAAAATTTACTCAGCTGAATGTGTTAAACAGAAGTGAATTCTCCAGACATGGGTTAGATAAACCCTCACATGGGTGTAGATGGCTCACCCCAGCATGAGAAAGCTTGGCTTCTGTTCATTAAGAACCACCTGGGGAGCGGGCCAGGGAGGGAAGCGGGGAGCATCCTGCCTAGGGCCAGCTTTGATCTCACTTTACTCACCTAACAGATGTTCAAACAGTGCTTTGTGCAAGCCCGCACTGCTCTAAGCTCTGTCACATTTAATGCACCTAACCCTCTTAACAACTCAAGGAGGTACTTGCTGTTTTCTTCATTTTACAGATGAGGAAACTGAGGCATGGGAGGTGAAGTTTAGGGTCCTACACCCATAAGACACATATTCCGGAAGAGCTATTTTTAGTGAATTGTGATACATTTAAACTCACTGTAGCCTATTTAAATACTTACAAAATACACTCTAGAGCAGCGGTTCTCAACCTGTGGGTCGGACCCCTTTGGGGGTCAAATGACCCTTTCACAGGGGTCGCCTAAGACCATCGGAAAACACATATATAATTACATACTGTTTTTGTGATTAATCACTATGCTTTAATGATGTTCAATTTGTAACAATGAAAATACATCCTGCATATCAGATATTTACATTACGATTCATAACAGTAGCAAAATGACAGTTATGAAGTAGCAACGAAAATCATTTTATGGCTGGGGGTCACCACAATATGAGGAATTGTATTAAAGGGTCGCGGCATTAGGAAGGTTGTGAACCACTGCTCTAGAGAATCTTTCAGAGGTTAAGAAGTCATCTCCAAATTATGTAAGTGTGTATGTGCAAACTTGCTTCATCTACTAGTACTCTTAATTTTTGAAGGCTCCAGATTTCAGTGTCTAGCACTCACCTGGGCCAGATTTTGAAGGAGGCAGAGAATTGCACAGCAGTGGGAGCAGAAATCCAAGACCCTACATTTTGAAGGTTTGAGAAAAGGAGGGGGTTCCTCACAGGAATTCCAGGGCTGGCTGCCTTCAGATGTCAGTTTGCAGAGCTGGGCCCAGGGCGGGAAATGTAATCCTGGAAGTAAGGGCTAGCCCGAGAGCAAATATGCTAACCAACTGAACATACCGTACAGTATGGAGCCTGAGTTTTCTATGACATTTTTCAAGCCATTCTTTATTAATTATCCTTGAGGGTAAGTTGACAAATGAGTTCCCCTGCATTTGAAACGTCATCAGGTAGAAGAGAAAGCTCCCTTAACCCGATCAGGGTGAGCCTGAGGTCAAACCGAAAGGACGAGGGGAGCTGGGCAGCAGGACTTCTCATTAGAGCCACGGTCTACAATACTGAGTCCGCGTGCACAGGCGTTTCTCCGGGAAGAGGCTTCTGAGCTGTCCTCCGCTTCTTACAGAAGCCAAAGCACCCCGAAAGGTGCATGATCCCTGCTCTACCCATCTCTTCAGGGGCCCTGGGCGGTAAACACAGATGGTGGGGGTGGGGGGAACGGGCGGTTTAAGCACCATGACTTCTGGTTTTGTTATTCAACTCAGGGGTTCACTACTTGGGGCCATCTATTAAAAAATGAGACGTGGTTGTTGCAGGGACGCTTTATTTACTTACAGCAAGTCAAGGAGACCGGATTCACCTCCCAAGCGGGAAGGGAGCCAGCCATTGCTTAATTTGGCTAATCACATGTCTATGTCTTCTTTGCAGTTGGCTACTTAATCAGGTTGGATTCCTATCAATCTTATCCTGTTTATAGCTGGTCTGCAAAATACTGTGCTACATTTTACATTTAGCAAGAACAGCATTTAGTAAGAATGGTCTAGAAGACCTTGAGACTCTTTTCCTAATAGTTTTATTTTTTGTCTCCTATTTCCTTTATTTTTCTTTTTTACCTTTTTTATTTAATTTATTGGGGTGCCACTGGTTAACAAAATTATACAGGTTTCAAGTGCACAACTCCACAACACGTCACCTGTACACGGTGCAGGGAGTTTCCCGCCCCAAGTCAAGTCTCCCTGGATCACCCTCTGTCCCTCCTATAGCTGCCCTGCCCTCCAGCCCCCACACTGTTTCGTGTCCATGAGTTTTCTTTTTCGCTCAGTCTGTCCACCCCCTTAGTTCCTCCCTTCACAGCTGTCAGTCTGCTCTCTATGAGTCTGTCTCGATTTTGTTTATTTTGTACATTAGATTCCACATATGAGTGAAATCATACGGTACTTGTCTTTCTCTCGCTTATTTCACTTAGCATAATGCTCTCCGGGTCCATCCATGCTGTGGCAAAGGGTACGGTTTCCTTTTTTAGGGCTGAGTAGTATTGCATTGTGTAAATCGCCACAACTTTTTATCACGCATCTGCTGATGGGTGCTTGGGCTGCTTCCAAATCTTGGCTATTGTACATAACGCTGCAAAGAACACAGGGTTGCATTTGGTGGGAATGCAGACTGGTGCAGTCGCTGGAGAAAGCAGTATGGAACGACCTCGGAAGATGAAGAATGGAACTGCCTTCGGACCCAGCCGCTCTGAAGAGTTTCAGGGGCGCAGCAAGCAACCTGGAGCCACGCTCCTGTGCCCTGGGATCTCTGGGCTCCGCACGCACCCGCATGTCCCAGTCCCTCCGACAGCCGGCCTTCAAGGCCGCTTCCAGGAACCCGCTCCCAGCGGCCGGCCGGTGGCCTGGCCTCCCCGACCTGCTCCGGGCGCGCGGAGGCTGCGCGGGGCAGTGGTGGCCGGAGTGGCGAGTCCCCTCCGTCCCGGAGGCCGCGGGCGGCCGGGAGCCACCGCCCGGGAGCCACCGCCCAGGCGCCGCCCCGCGGGGAGCGCGCACTCCTTTTCCCGGCGGAGGGAGCGCGCGGGCCGCGTGAGCCGTCCTACCGGCGCGTGACGTCGCCGGGGCCGGCGGGCGGTGCGGGAGCGGCGCGCGGGGCGCCGCCGTGAGGCCGGGAGGCGCGAGGGCCGCGCGGCTGAGTGACCGGGTCCCAGGGCGGCGGCTGCAGGCGCGGCGCCCGGGCGCGGAGGGTCGGGGCGGCGGGACGCGCCGGGGATGGGGAGGCCCGGACCCCGCACCTCTCCCGGGCGCGCGTGCGGCTCCGCGGGCGCCCAGTGACGGTCCGGCCGGGTGGCGCCAGGCCGCTCGCCAGGGAGCCCGCGGCCCGCGGCGGCCGGGCATGAGGAGCGGCCGGGGCCGGGCCAGGCCTCGCTGACCCCGGCCCCGCGCGCGCGGCGGCCTCTCCCGTTTTCGCACCGGCCTCCCGGCATGAGCGTCCGCCGGGCCCCGGGGCCGCGGCTGCCCCAGCCCCGCAGCCCGCGGGCGCGCTCCCGGCCGGCGGGCCCGCGGTGCTGATCCGGCCGCTCGCCCCGCCGCCCTCGGTGCGGCCATGGAGGTGGTGGGCGACTTCGAGTACAGCAAGAGGGACCTCGTGGGACACGGGGCCTTCGCCGTGGTCTTCCGGGGGCGGCACCGCCAGGTGAGCCGGGCCTCCGCGCCGGCCTCCCTCCCGCCCGCGCGGCCGCCGCCGGACCGCGGCCCCGCAGAGGGCGAGGCGGGCCCTGCCGGTGACAGCGCTGCCATTGTCGGCGTCGCGTGTCGGCGCGGGTGGCTCTGCGGCCCGAGCGCTGGGCAGCGCCCCACCTGCCGCCCGGCGGCCTCGGGGTCCGCGCCGGTCCCAGCGCCCGGGCAGGTGCCGCGGGGACGCGCCCCTTGGCGCCGGGGGAGCTCTCGCCGGGGTCCCGGGGCGTGCGGGTGTGGGCGCCCCTTGATGTCAACCCTCCCTGGGCGCTTTGGGTGGAGATCGCACACCCGGCGGAACACGGGCCGGTGGTCCGTTAGCCCGAGGTTTTCTCAAACTCGGGGTGTCCCGTCTCCCTGCACGGGTTCCTCGACACCCTGACGAGCGCCTGGGTTTGACTAGGCGGGTCCGAGTGGGAAAGATGGGTGGACGCTCCTTTTTCCAACCCAAATAAACACGAAGCAGGTTCAGCTTTTTTTTTTTTTTTAAGTTTTTCCTGTTTTGAAAATTCGGGTCATACAAGGTTTTAGAATCTAGAGAATTTGGAAAGTCACCTCGGGAGTGGAAATAATTTTACAGGGTTTGGCGGTTCTGGTTGTTGCCAAGGGGCTGGCTTTGTTGCTTATCTGATCAAATAATAAATACTGCTTTTTATCTGTTAGGAAAATCACTTAAAACTCAAGAAAAAATAGTTAAAACATGGCTTACTTCTGCCAAGCTATCCAATACTGTTTTCCATTAAACATACGACCTTCCTTTCTTATCCACAGTTCCCCATAACTTTCATAGTTGTACACTGTTCTTTTTTTCACCTAATGCTGGCTACTGTGTGATCTGCGTATTATTTTTTAGCGGCTGTCTTTTAGGACGTTAGCTGTTACACTGTAATTTATGAAATCACTTTCCAGTTGTTGGAGATTCAGGTTCTTTTCCATTTTTTTCCTTCAGTGCTGTACATGAATTTGCTAAAAAAAAAAAAAAATTAAGCTTACAGATTTTTTTCCCGTTGAATTATTTCCATGAAGTAATTTCCAGAAGTAACACTATTTTTTTCTTTTCAGAAAACTGATTGGGAGGTAGCTATTAAAAGTATTAATAAAAAGAACTTGTCAAAATCACAAATACTGCTTGGGAAGGAAATTAAAATCTTAAAGGTATGTTCCTTTATGTGATATTTCATACTGGGTTAACACTTATTTTAAATTAAATGAATACATGATGACATACTTTGTAATTTTGGTAGTTGGACCCAAGTTTGAGAATTTTCACCTGTTGCTCTTATTTTTGCATGTTCAGTTTTTTGAAACATTGAAACTGGGAAGCTTTTTTTTTAAAAAAATAGGTGTTTGCGGTTCTTGTCCAATGCCTAGAGTGATTTTGTGAAAACTCATAATTTCTTTCCGTCTTTCCCCTGTTCGTTGTGTTACTGTCTGGGAAGAGGCCGGCCCCCCTTGCACATCACTTACCTCTTCTCCTGATCCCTTTCATGGGACAGCTGGAGAGCTGGGTGCACTTGAAATCTTACTTTCCTTGTAAATTGAAGAAAGTTATTTTCCTTAGAAGTGGTCTTTTTAGATCACTCACAAGCAATGTTATCCAAGTGAGATGCTTTAAGGACAAAAAGAGTCCTATGGTCTGATAAGTCCTTCTTACTAAATACTTCTTGGAGAGTTTCAGAGCACTTGGCTCATTAAAGAAAGCCTGAAAGTGATGCAATGAAGAAACTGGTGTAGGTGTATTTAACCCAGTGTTTCCCAGACTACTATGCACATGGAACCCTCATCTAATACCAGTTTTCATCAACACTGCTCGTCTTTGGACAGCTCGCTGAGCAAAGAATCACACTTCATTTTCTTCCCGGCAAATAATATGCTTCTTTTTTTAATTTTTCTATTTACTTATTTATAGTCCTCACCCGAGAATATTCCTCCATTGATTTTTAGAGAGAGGGAAAGAGAGAGAAATATCCATGTGAGAGAAACACATTGATTGGTTGCCTCCTGCACGAGCCTGACTAGACCCCAGGCTGGAGAGGAGCCTGCAACCGAGGTTTGTGTCCTTGACTGGAATCAAACCCGGGACCCTTTGGTCCACAGGCTGATGCTCTATCCACTGAGCCAAACTGGCTAGGGTTTTTTTTTTTTTTTCTTGTAAATCTTCACCCAAGGAGTGAGGATATTTTTCCTATTAATTTTTAGAGAGCGTGAACAAGACGGGGGGGGGGGGGGAAGAGAGAGAGAGAGAGAGAGAGAGAGAGAGAGAGAGAGAGAGAGAGAGAAGAAACATTGATGTGTTAGAGATACTTTGGTTGCCTCCCACTCGCACCCTGACCGGGGCTGGGGATTGAACCTGCAACCGAGGGGCCCTTGACTGGGAATTGAGCCTGAGACCCTTAGGTCTGCGGGCCGACGCTCTAACCACTGAGAAAACAGGCCACGGCCCTTTTCTTTTTTTAATCCTCACCTGAGGATATGTTGATTGATTTAGAAAACCTGGCCAGTGTGGCTCAGTTGGTTGGGCTTCATCCAGTGCACTGAAAGGTTGCCTGTTCCATTCCTGGGTCAGAGCACATTGACGTCTCTCTCCCTCTAAAAAAAAGAAAAATCAATTAGAGAGAGAGGAACGAGGGAAAGAAAGTGAAAGAAACAGAAACATCGATTTGAGAGAGAAACCTTGATCAGTTTCCTCCTGTATGCCCCCAACCCGGGATCGAACCCTCAGCCTAGGTATGTGCCCTGGCCGGGAATTGAATCTGAAACCCTTTTTGTGCAAGGACGATGCTCCAACCAACTGAGCCACCGGACCAAGGCATAATGTGCTTCTAAGAAGCATTTTGGAATTTCATGCCTCTATTGCTGTTAGAAATTGTATATTAAATTTAAAAGACTGGCAGAAAGTCTTTAGTCATACTTACTATGACATTTATTTTGTGAATGAAATACCTTGTTAAGAGTCTAAAGAACAATAGTGGTGAAAAAATACTTGGGCCCCAAGTAAATTTTGAGGAGGCACATTTCTTACTGTCTAGTAGATTGAATGTTGTAAAAGAACTGTAGTATACTAGAAATAGCATATATGCATGTGTATGTGTGTATATACTTAAATTAATTTTTATTTGCATATTGAAATATATTAACATTATTAGAATAAATACAAATATTTGAATTCTTAATTTTCTTTACAGGAACTTCAGCATGAAAATATCGTAGCACTCTATGATGTTCAGGTACCTTGTTTTGTTTTGTTTTTTTAAAAAACTTCCATGTCAATAAGGAACTTACATTTTCTGTTTCATAGACATTTAAGTGAATCTTAATAGAAATAGAAAATTGCCTTATTCTTGTTGAAAATATATATAACTTGAGTTATATACTTATTAATTAAGAAATTTTTTAAAATAGCATAGGGCAATAGGATAAAATAAACAATGTGCTGCATGGGTAAACATTTTAGCAAGTGATAATATACTAAAGGAGTAGTGTTGTTTTATAGGTCAAGTAGAGGAGCATTGAAACCAGATCTAGCATTTCTGTGATAAATGTAGAAAGGACTATTGTGGACTAAGAAAAAATTGTATAGAGCTTTTTACTTATTGCAACAGCAACATTTGCTAATTGTAGAGGTATTAGGAAATAAATTAAATAAAAAGGGAACTGCGTATTCATATCCCAGATATATCTGTGATTATCTCTGTGGCATAATGTAGGTTTGCATTTTATTTAGAGGTGGAAAGGCTGGTTTCTAAAGTTATCTTCTAAGGCAGAGTTTCTGTGTTGTCAAAATTACCCTTGGGAATCCTTTTTAAAAGCCCATCTTTGGAGCAACTTACTATTTCTGGGGTGGAGCCCCAGAGCCAGTAGTTGGCTTATATTTAGAGGGGATATTGCATTTTAAAAATCCTTCTTTAAATACGAGAATCACACTTGACTAGTGTGGCATTCACCCTATGAGAGCCGCGGGATCTGAGATCCATTCTCACTGCAGAGCCGCCAGTGCATCACTGACATGATGTCATTCTTTTGTTTTGCTGGACAGTTGAATCTCAGTAAATGGATGGGTTATGTGATTCTGCTATTATACTATATTTCTAGCTAGAATCTTTTCTGTATGTACTTGGATTACTCAAATTCATTCACTTTGTAAGGTTTTGAGTGGCTACTATAAGCTAGACATTGTTCTAAACTAGGAATAAAGCAGTGAGTAAAACAAAGTCCTTGCTCTGTGTGTATTTAATGTTAATGGGGGTGAGAAAAAATGGACAGCACTACATGTACATTTTTCTCCAGATAGTCGTTTTTCATGAAGTCATACCACATCACAAAATATTTAACCCATGTTGTGAGATGTTTAGGTTTTTCCTATTATAGAAAAGTGCAGTGAGGATAATACAAGGTGGGGCAAAGTAGGTTTACAGTTGTTTATATGGAAAATAATACAATAATTAATAATAATACAAGAATAAACTCTGCTTTGGGTACTCACAACTGTAAACCTACTTTTGCCCCACCCTGTATATACCTACTGAACATATCTGAATTTCTTTTGAATTCAGTTTTTAGAATTGGAATTACCAGGGCAAATAGCAGGCACAGTTTTAAAGTTCTTTGATTGTAGAGTGTGATTGCTCTCCAGAAATTGTAATTTAAACTCCATGCACAGAATATGTGAGTGCTGTGGGGAGAGTTTTGTTACCTGTTTAAATTGGTATAACTCATTCCTTCATTTCAGAAATTCAAAGCAGCATAAAAACAAAGTGGAAAAAAGTTTAAAGTCAAAACTAAGTTGATCTCACAATTCCTAGTGGAAATGTCGGTTCTCCTCAGAGCTGTTTGTGTAATTGGGCTTAGTTTCTGTGGGTAGTGGGCATCAAGTGGTACCAGTCCTCGCCTAGAATAAAAATTGTTAAGTATTAACTCTTACTTTTCCATTTTTGAGATGCACAGAAAATTTAATTGCAGAGTAGGTTTTGCTTTCTGAGTAGAGAGTGTACTTAGATTAGTGTATCAGAATGAAAAATATTTTTAAGTATTATCCTCCTTGGTTGCAGAACGAAATATCATTTCATTAGGGGGAATATGTATTGAAACACCTGAATTATCAAATAGGAATTTTTAAGGCGACTCCATGAAAATGTTTATTATTTTGGAACTAGTTTATACATTTAAGAAATAGTCAAATGAATATAGTCTTGAGCATTTGGCTATCGAGTAAACATTCTTGATCTAATATTTTAAATTTGCTTCCTTGATTTTAACTATTTATCAAGGGGTACAGTGTGTTTGTAAGGACTGGGACAATAATTTTATCAACTTGAGCATCATTTTTATTGGGCATCAGTTTTAGAGATTCATCTAAAGTTTTTTGTATACCCTTTGTAAAACTGAGAACTTTTGACATTGTTTATCAAAATTAGGTTTTAGTTTAGATGACAGTTAAAAAGAAACAAATTTTTCCTAATTATAAAAATAATATATTCCCATAGTGAAAGTAATTAAACATTGTCAGAATGAGATTAGAAAAGAAACGGCAATTCTCAGAGATAGCCACTGTTTGTTATATTTCTTTTAGAGTTTTCTAAATACATATATGAGTCTATAATAATTTATACTTAGGTTTTAAGCTTTTCATTGTGAGGAAATTAATAGTATTTTTTTTACAGAAATGCAACTTTTTATTAAACTTAATGTATCTTGGCTATCTTTTTATATCAGTATATATACAGGGCTAAATTATGATCTATTTACTTAAAACCATTTTGTGGCTATTTGCATTGTTTCTTACCATTTTCCTATTAGAGACAGTGCTGCAAAGAAAGCTATGTACATACATCTTTGCTTATTCATATGTGTACCTATAGAATAAATTCCTTGATGTGGGATTACTTGGTCAAAGACATTACTACTAGAGGCCTGGTGCACAAATTCGTGCATGGGTGGGATCGGCTGGCCTGCCCCAATGGAGACCCATCGGGCTGGGCCAGCGGCGGCGGGGAGGGGCTGTGGGCAGTTGGCTGGCTGGCCCCGCCCCCAATCAGGCTGTTGGGGGCCGATCAGGGGCCGGGCCGGCCGGGGCGGGGGCCGATCAGGGCTCAGATCAGCCTGGTTGGCTGCCGCAGTGTGCATTGTAGCCACCGGTCGTTCTGGTTGTTCTGGTCGCTGGGCTTTTATATATGTAGATATTGCCTTCCAAAAGGTTGTACCAATTTATTTTGACCAATAATGGCCCATGTTTTAGTTTTCTTTTTTGACATTCTCATAGGAGAAAAATACCTTAGGTTTTCTTTTTATATTGTAAGTTATTAGTGCACTGACCATCTTCATGTTTTATTTGCCTTTTCCTATTTCTTCTGTGACTTTTTCTTGTTGCTGTGCTGTGATACTTCAGTTGTGTTCATTTTTCTTACTGATTTTTGTGATCAGTGTTTCTTGAGCCAGGAAAGGAGATGTAGAGGAGGATGGTAGTGAACAAAATAGAGATGGGCCTTGCCCTCGTGGGACTTAGAGCAGTACACTGGGGAAGATGCATGAAGCAAATAGTTACTAATTCTAAGTGTGCACAGTGCTGTGAGGAGACTTGTGGGAGATATTTGGAGGAACATACAGGGGTTAGGAAGTAGGGCAATCCACTCTGTGCAGCTGGGGAAGACTCCCTGCAGAAAGGATGTTTAAACAGAAGACTTGCTGTAAGAGGGAGAGAAGGCTGGGATTGGGTAGGTGGGGGAAGAGCAAGTAAGGAAGCTAAGCTTCCCCAGCAGATGAAGCTTCTGTGAAGAGCAGACAGGAAAGGCCAGGGTTTGAGGAACTGCAGGATCACTGTGGGAGGAGTGCCGGTGGGGGACAGCAGTGTTAGATGATGCTGGAGAGGGTCACAGGACCACATGTGATCTTCATTCTAAGGGCAGTGCAGAGCCATGGGCCAGTTTCAAAGGCAGAAGAGTGGTTTCATGTCAGCTACAAATCTTTGAGCATTCTGGGCACGAGATAAGTATTGTCATTAGGAATACTTACATGAAGGCCAGTGATCTGGGTAAATGTCCATCTCCCGGTAATTTTTAGCATAGGGAAGAAAAGATGGCTCATTTAATAGATGATGCTGGCAAACAGACATCTGAGAAAAAATAAAGTTGGATCCCTATTCTCATTTTCTAAAAATAATTCCCAAATGGATTAAATTCTTAAATATATAAAATAACTAATAACAATCTTAGAATAATATTTAGCTATGTATAAGAGATAGATATTTTAAATGAAGGGAAGACATTCAGAAGCTATAAAGGTAGGGACATATAAAAATTTAAAAACCATATTTTATGGCAAATAATAACACAAATCTCAAACATGTTGAGAAAAGGAAGTCAGCTATATACAGCTACTGTATGATTCTGTTTTTGTGAGTTTCAAGAAAATACAAAACTCAGCTAGGGTGACAGAAATCAGGGAAAGCAAAATACAGGTTGCCTCTTGGTAGCTGAGATTAGGGCAAAGAGGCCTGAGGAAACTTCCTTTTTTTAAAATATGTTTTTATTGATTTTAGGGAGAGGGGGAGAGAGAGAAACATTAATGGGCTGCCTCTTGCACACTTCCTACTGGAGTCTGAAACCTGGGCATGAGCCCTAATTGGGAATCAAACCTATGACCTTTTGGTGCATGGGATTACACTCAAATGACTGAGCCACACTGGCCAGGGTGGACCTCTTTGGGGTGATGGAAATGTTATCTATTTTGATTAAAAGGGTAGTTATACATGGTTATATACATTTCTTACAACTCATTGTAAACTTGGATCTGTGTGTTTAGCATATGTAAATTACACGATAATAAAATGCAATTGGCAGATAATAGTTTGAGGAAATATTGTTGTGCGTTGTTAACACAACAGGTAGGCTAATTTCTAAAATATACAAATCCTCTCTCAGATTGATAAGGAAAAGGTTACCCGAAGAGAAAGTAAGCAAAGTATATAAGTTATTGGTTATCATAAGGGATAAAAATGACTAATAAATATATGAAATAATATTCATGAACAAGTAGTCAGGGAATTATAAATTAAAGTAACAGTGAGATGTCACTTCCTACCCTTCAATTAGCAAAATTAAAAAGTGCAGTAATTCTTAGTGGTGGAATTAGGAAGGAGGTGTAAAATATTCTCATATATCACTTGTGGAAATGTGAATTATTAGAATATTAGTGGCCCGGTGCACATTGAAAGGAAATTAATTAGAAGGTG